GTTAACATGTTTAAAAACCTAATAGTCAGGGTAGAGCTCTGAGCCTGAATGTCACTAATTACCATTTACCAGTTCTGAAAGGGGGGGACGGGACCCAAAACCCAAAAACCCACATGAATTAAACTTTGACACCACTACAGTCACTGGCAAAATTCCCACCAACTCTGGAAGATCCAGAAGTTTTCGCCAAATATGGCAACTGTCTTCAATACCATTAAGTTGACATGCAAGTGTGGAGACAGGACCTTCACCCATCTCTTGACGAGACCTTCCAGAGTCACTGCAGGAAGTGACTGCTCTTCTCTAAGCTTTCAATGCAAAGTTCCTTAGACAACAACTGAGTCTCCTCCTGTTTCAGTGCCAACAGATTACCACTTATCAATATAATATTCTCTTAATATTCACAGATGAGCATGCAGGAGTACGAATTAATTCATGATGAGCAAGAAGATGAAAGTTGCCTACAAAAATACCGCAAGCGCTGCATGCAGGATATGCACCAGAGGCTGAGCTTTGGGCCAAAGTATGGTTATGTGTGTGAGCTGCAGAACGGAGAACAGTTCCTGGAAGCCATTGAGAAAGAACGTAAAACTACCACCGTCATTGTCCACATCTACGAAGATGGCATCAAGGGCTGTGATGCTCTCAACAACAGCTTGACCTGCCTGGCAGCCGAGTACAGCACTGTGAAGTTCTGCAAGATCAAGGCCTCCAACACAGGGGCTGGAGACCGCTTCTCAAACGAAGTGCTTCCCACTCTACTCGTCTATAAGGGTGGTGAGCTCCTGAGCAACTTCATTAGCATTTCTGAACAATTCAATGAGGAGTTTTTTGCTGTGGATGTGGAATCTTTCCTAAATGAGTATGGGCTGCTACCTGAAAGGGAGCTTCCAGCACTGGGAAATGGTAATGGCAACATGGATGAGCAAGATGTTGAATAATTAGAGAGCCATAGTCCTCACTATCTCCCGTTCCTCTTCACTATGTTGTAAATCAATCTCAGTAACACCCATCTTATTTAGAGAAGGCTGTCTTTGCTGACTTATTTGTAAGATACACATATATAAAAATGGCTTGACTGTTAGTATGTGAATTTTACTTAAAAACACATACAACTGGCAGTCCTGTACATAATTATCTCTATGCCAGCCACAAGTAATAGGAAGAACAAGAGACAATACTGGTGATCTCTAAAAAATTAAGGGAAAAAAAAAAATTGAGGGTTCATGCCTGTCTCCACAAAGCACAGGAAGAACTTCATTTCAACAGGAACAGAACTGATCCATCCCTCTGCATACACAAAAAGCCATCTCCGTGCTCTGGAATTAAAGCAAGTCCTGGCTCCTCAGATTCACTTCTACCAACTGCAGTAGGAACAAGATCTCATCCAATAGTTTTAAAGACAAACAAATAGCCCAAAGTCCTTGCATTCCTAAATGGCTTAGGTATCTAGGACATTATTTTAGGCTTCTGCATTTAAATTTCAATATTCATGAAAATACAGAAGTTAGCTCAGTGCTTCTAAGTTTGTCATCCAAACAGCTAACACAGGGACGTTATCAGCTAATTTCAGTTCATTGTTGCTCCATATTTTGAACAGTAATATTTAAAATGTCTGCAAGTTGCTGAAAAAGTATATTGTGCTTATGTAATAACTCTGAATAAAGCTTAACAAACCTACCAATTGGAACTGTGAAATATATTGGTAGCACATAACCTTAAGAACATGTGAAATATTAGTAAACACTCATTAGACATTTACTAAACTGAAAGTTTTAAGTTTTGCTAAAGGGATGCTGCTGAGAACTACAATTTAGCAATCTGTTTGAGAGGAAGACACAGGGTAAACTCACTATAAACCTTCCTGTCTCTCTCTCTGTATGTCTGAAAAATCCACCTCCTCTAGTTCTGATACAAGACAACAAAACATTAGAAATGTTCCAATGACTTCTTTTGCACACTGGCAAAGCTGAAGGCTGAATTTTACTCTGAGGACAGAAATATCTCTATCTTAACTGCACACAATTTTGCTGATAACATTTGAGATTATCAAAATGTTAAAGATTTTTTTTAGTACTCATATGACTCACCAGTTTTTATTTGCTTTGATAATTTCACGTTTTTCTCACTTTGGAGTGCGAGCTTTCAGTTTTGCTTCAGGTCAGGATCCCACCATGGAAATGTCACCCTGCGAAATTCTGCATATGAATCAGTAAGAATTCAAAACTGAGCAGCCAGGACCAGGGAACCATTGCAGTGATATAACCCACACATTAAAAGCAGGTTCCTACCACTCTTTTAAACGCATGTTTTTCTCCACTTTTCATTCACATGGAAAATTCACAGGAGTAGCTGAAGGTTGCACTACTTCCCAACAGATCTGCACAACAAAGTAATTCTACTCAAAATTATTTGGGAAATAGAACCCTGCAAAACATTACTGAAGGATTCATGAGATACCCTTTCAGACAAAATAATTTCAACAACTTATGCCTTGCTTTAAATAATGGCCAAAAAAACCACCCCCAAAACAAAAACATGTGTCTTCTTTTTTTGTCCAATTTTAGGGACTATCAAAACACTACTGAATTTCTCCTTTTAATATCGTTTTGCCATGGATTCACATTTTAACAGACCACTATAAACCTCACCTCACCTAAGTAATAAGAATGAAGTTCCTTATCATCTCTCAACAATGTACAATCCTCTTTAACCTGTAAAACAATTCATGATTTTATTCCACCAAGAATTCAAATAGCATCTTCCCAAAACGTTATGATTTCTGTGTTGTACATTTCTGAATGCAAAACTGTCATAAGTTTTTCTGATGGAACTCCAGGTGGAATAAAGCTTTTCCCTTAAAGCAGTCCTTTTTCCCCATACTCAAGCATGATGTTTACCCCTTGGCTAAAATCACCTTCATCTTAACATTTCATTTGCATCTGTAGGTTGACTCTTTGGAAAGCTATGATTTGCAGATTTACCTAACATTATGAAAATCGGATGATCTTGTAACAGTTTATGTGGAAGATAATGAATTATCTTCCATCTACCACAAAAATAATCAGTTATTTGAGTAGCAGGACAGTATTTATCTTGTATTTTTTGATGAGATGTTTTAAAGAAGAGGCATGAAAAATTTCTGTCCTCTACACACCAGAAAATCTCCACGTAACTGGTGGGAACTTAACATTAGGAACTTTCCTTCTTTATCAAATTTGTTTCAAAATTTATTAGGCTGCACATCAGCAGCCTGATCACATAAGCTTCATTCCTTTGAGAAACCAGGCTGAAAGCAAAAAAACCCTAACAAACAATAACCACCACACAAACTACATTTATAACTAGTTGTAAGAAATAAGCTGACACTCCAATTTAAAAGACAGATTAAGCATGCTTAAGCAGGATTTCCTTCAACCTGTAATTTAAAAAAAAACCCAAAGAAAAAGAAAACACACATGATACCAAGCCTCAACAGAAGCTCATGACTAATGAAGTTGCAAATAAAGTTCTGATCACAGCAGTCATCCATATTTCTGCAGAAAAAAAAACCCTTCAAAAGAAAAAGCAAGACTTGACTCAAACATCGTAATACTGTATGAAGATTCCTGAATAACAAAAAGTAAATGCTTCAATAGGCATATGGGAGCAGTCTTCCTGCTACCGTCAGCTATGGATACTCTTCCTTTTGACTCAGTCACAGAGACCCTGAGCATCCTCAAATATTCTGATGCAGACAAAAATGGAGGAGAGGGGGGAACTAATTATCAGTGGTGTCACTGCTGACTAAACTAAGAACAGAAGTTCTAGCAGATGTATATCTGTTATCGGCAAGCTGAATGCTACCCCTCAGATGTACAAGGTTTATAATTCCTCACAACACCACTGAGGCTTTTTAAAACTACATTTTAAAACTACATAGCACAGAGAATAAGGTTTCTGTAAAGTTATTTCATAACATCAATTTTAGAACTACACTTGGAAGAGCCAGATTTCCAGATGTGGAAGTCCCAACTGTTCCTCTAGACTCTTACATATTAAAATAAAAATATATCTGAAGTCATGGATACAAGTTAACAAGCTCAGTTTCAGTCATGATGGAGTTTTCACCAACTGAAAGCTTCAGAAGATTACATAGATAGCAGGAAAAGGATAAACCTATATGAAATCTGTGCAAAAGTTAAGCAGTAGTCAAGAAATAGACTTCTAAAAGGTTGCTTTCCTTTTTTTCTTAAACACACCTTTTTGTTTTTCTTAAAGAACTCATTTTCTTATGTTATCAATGGTTAACAGTACAAAAAGGATTGGAAACAAAACAACAATGAAATCCCCTCTTGGTTAGTTCTGTAATTCTTAGGCAAGTGAGAACCTGCTTTCTTCTACATCCACTATTTCCTCATGGCAGGATGACTGGAAGGCTCAATCTGTAGATACAAGTCAAATTACTCATTTTTTTCTTTGACAGGGTTATTTTCTTACTGCACATGGTAGTTAAATGCAGTCTCCTGTATTAAAGCAGAAATCTCATCCAAAGCAACTTCTTTCTTTGCCTTCTTCCAACCTCAAATTGGAAAATTAGACTTCCACAGATCCTTGATACCTAGTTAGTTATAAGCTGAAGGATTAATTTGAACGCCTGTAGAAACGCCATAAAGAAAAGGTTCATTTACTAAACACTGAATAAGCTTGCAGGGCAGAAAGAAAAACAGAGTTCTTTGCTAGGGAATAACACCTCCAAACAAACTCTAATTTTTAGACCACAGGTGCTAACCAAGAACTACTGGAAGACTGTTTCATGACAATTTTCTTCTCTGTTGTAAGATATTTAGCATCTCAAATGTTCTTCATGTCTATGGCTGAGTTTCAAGTAACAGGCAACTACAGAATAACCGTTTTGTATTTTACCTCTGAAAGCATACTCCCCACCCCCCCAAAAAAAAGGGAAAAAAAAAAAAGAGAGAGACAAAGAGAGACAAAAGACAAACTTCTTTCTTCTCATTACTCCCTTGTTCCTCCTTCTAATAGACTTTAGCAGAGCAATTTTTAAACCAACCATATTTTGAAGCACATTGCAAAATTCATCTTCTTCTGGACAGCACTCAACCTCTCCTGGAATCAACTGCTTCTGCATAATGACATCTTGCCTATTGATTCCACCTGTTTGCACAGAATAACATGTATCTATAAAACATGCAGCAGCTGAAAACAGTGCCTCCATTACAACATTCACTTTCCTCTCAGAGGCCCTACTTGAGCAATACTAAGCACAAAAGATCAACACTGTGTTCCAAAATAGTTACTATAGTAAAAGCAGGTCTTTCTCCAAACATGTAAAAATGGAATACCCAAATGAGGCAATAGTATTTAAGACACCTTTCTCATAGTTGCCTTTTATTAAAAGTATCCCAGCACATCCTTGATTATGCTTTACAACCAAAATGTTTATGTTTTTTCTTAGTGTTCCAGTGCCTTTATACAAAAAAGAAATTTGCAGTGGTATTAAAACGCCCTAAAATCTGGAATTCTTTTCTATTGTAGTTCAGATCCAAGTAAACATCACATTTCATGCACAAATTATTCTTTACTAACCTTACCAGAATTTTTCCCTCCTCCCACTCTCCTCATGGCAAGTAAACAATCATGTTATCACCTAACATACCCAGGAGAATATCTCATAATCAAGAGCTATCTGTTTATAGGCTAAAAATCCTGATTAGCAAACAGGTTTTGACAACTTGCATCCATCTACAAGTTAATCCACAAGGGCTGCCTAGATGTAGCTGTTGCTGAAATAGTTAATATTCCAAGAGAATGATGATTGAATCGGAGCTGGACAGAGAAGTCCTTAAGAGTCACTGAATAAAAGGTGGTGTATACACATCTCAAAAGTTCTATGCATTTTACTGACTTCTGAGTTCTCCAGGTCTTGAACTAAGGTATTTACAGGCTGAATTGGTCTAGTCTTGAAACTACGAGAAACTGTTTGTATACCTATTATGCTAGTTAACCAATATTATCTAAACCAATGCATATAGTGAAATGCTGGCTGCATTAAATCTAATTTTTCCCCAATTAACTTTAACGAGATAAGAGTTCTCTTAGCAAAGGAACCTTTAAAGGAAGAATCGTCACACCAGGTAACTATGCTAGTCTTACCAATAGCCTGAAAAACACCAGTGATAGCATTTTGCATTAAAACAGCAAGTAGGAAGAAGTTCTACATTTACTTAAGGGATCCTTCTAGAAAATAATACTACCATTCATTTATACAAAGCAACAGGGTTAGTTTCTTGTAAACTTGATTCACCTTCTACCTGATACTGTAACTGCATGATTCTACTTGATATATAGTAAGTGCATGCTGGAACAAGGTAACTGAACCTATCATTACAATTTATATTGCACATCTAACTGGCAATATTTAGGCAACAATTCTTAATTACTAATATATTAAACCCAGATGTTTCCATCTTGTAACTGGCCAATACTTCCATGAAGGTCCAGTTGCTTGAGTTTAATCACTGAAGTAATTGAAAGAGAAGATCGATGCAAAGACTGCAACAGCAGCTGCTATTACCACACCTAAAATAACAAAGGAAATGCATTCAGTGAGTGGCAAGGGCAGCACAGTCAACAGCAGCTAGGGTGTGGAGGGCAGGGTCCAGGTGAATGGCAAGCAGGAGGAGAAATAAAAGCCACCCCAAAAAACATCTACCACTGTGAAGCCTAAATCTACAGCTACGATGTCAGATAGTTAAATTATAAAAGCTCCACATGACATTTCTAATCAGAGCAGGATTCTTCCAGAAATCCAGATGACCACATACTTCTGTAGTAACTTGGCCATGTCCTGGCCCATAAAATAACGCACTGACTCTGCACTACTGCTTAATTCTAGGAATCAGGCTAGGAAAAATAGCAAAAATTTTAAGCTTTAAGAAACAAAAGCTATTAAGTTTTTTCTTGTCTGTGTTGCACTACATCTACTCTGTAAGTCTTTGTAGCACAACAGCCATTTTCCTGTTGATTAACATGCTTGTTACTGATGCAGCTGAGAAGATGACACAAAAAAACAGAACACCTGAGTGATGATTCAAGGGAAAACATTTTTACATCCAAAGCAAACACATATTTACTGCTACTACTCTTTAATCTTCCAGTTACCATGTTCTACTTCTAAGCATTAATAGAAAACAAAAGTTACTGTTTTGACGACTGAAGTGTATTTTAATATGAAAAGACAGTCAAAACTCACAGCAAAGAGAACTGTACTAAGTGCAGACAGACATCTGAGAGCTGGACTATGGAGTATCATGGAGAAGTTGTATTTGAAAGAAGAGTTCTGCAGCTGGTGTTCCCTGAATTATTGAGGCTGACAATTAGCACCCAAGCCCATATGTATTTGTCAGCTTCTGAAGATTTGTGAGTCACTAGCCGATTTACGGATGCCTACTTGACAAAGCCATTCAACTGTGTTGTTTTTTTTTAAAATACAGAATTATAGAAGTGGTGGCTCTCTAAAAAAGGAATAAAGCTACATGAGCCTTTTGTATTGACTTGTAGGCTAAACGAATGCAAACACCGGTTTTGTTTCAAGAGCAGGCTGTGGTTCTTTCTTCCCCAGAAACACCCTGCACCTACAATACTGAAATGGGAACTCATTTTAGAAAAGTATTGTATTAATCTCACCAGTTTATTAATAATGCTGTGGAATCTAACAGTACTGAAAGGGGCCATTATAATTTCTGGATTGCCATAGCAAAAATCAGGGAAGTAACGTACCCATATTTTGCTGAAGTTTCAACAGCAGTGTTGCTTTTGTCAGTTGTTGCTGTTGTGTGTCATCCGTGTTGTCAGTAACTGGACAAATATCAACTGCATGGAAATCAAGTGAAGAAGTAAATATCAGGTGAAAAGCTAACAGTTGTGTCTTACAGTTGAATTAATGCAAAAGGCCAAGAACTTCCTATCAACTTTATAAAGTACATTTATAGTAGAAAGAAGAGTTTATTGCAGTAGAAATGGTACAGTAGCAACAGCATAGCACTAAACTATTCCATATGGCTGGACAAGAAGAAATAAAGCGAAAAAATAAAGCGAAAAAATAAAGCGAAAAAATAAAGCGAAAAAATAAAGCGAAAAAATAAAGCGAAAAAATAAAGCGAAAAAATACATTTGGGAAGGAGCTCCTCTTCCAAAACTCATTTTCCACACCCTGCATCCAGAGTAACATATCCAACCCCCTTTACATAACCTGAGAAGAATTTCACTACTCTGAGCGGGAACCACCAAAATGAACCATTAACCACCTTCCAAGATCAAAGTTTTTCCTTCAAAGCCATCTGTCCAGAGTTCAGGCTACATGGAGTGAGCCCAGCATCACCTCCCTACCCAACAGCCATAGATGCTCTTTTTCAAAGCACAGAAATTCCTTTTTGAAGATCTGCTAAAAATACACTTGTAGAGCAGGCATAAAGGACACATTCCCCTTTGGAAGTTACTAAATCCTTAGACTGCTCAGCCAGGATGTGAGAGAGCTTGATTCTATTTCCAGACTGATGGGATTCAAATCTGTATCTATTTCCTTTCCAAAGATTTCCCTAATCACTTGGCTATATCCAGCTTGTTAGAGAGGGGGAGGAGAGAAAGAAGGGGATTAATCTTAAGTCCTCTAGCTGCACTTGTTCATGTATCCCACATAGAGCAAGCATGCTTTGGACTACCTAGTTCAGTGATAAGGCTACTTGATGGTGGTAGGCCAAAGGTCTTCAATTTGCATTCTTGTTCCCAGGATAGTTTGCTAAGGCATCACTTGCCAAAAGTTCTGACTACAATTCAGTAGCTACTATTGCAAACATCTTCTGGACAAGTAAACAGTAGGAGAAAGTGTTTGTGCTATTGCAGTGAGATCTGGATGTCTTCGGAAAGAACAGAATGGGCATGCTGAGATAAGAAAAAAAGCCTAACAGATTGTTCTTGTCCAGAAGATGAAGAAGAAAAACCCACAGCAGTACCAGATATCAAGTTTTAGCAGCCCATGGAATACTGATCTAAATGAAAACAGATCTCCCATTCCCAGAGTGGGGCTGTCAATCACCTATAAATTACAAATTACATAGTTGAGTAATAAGGCACACCCCTTGTATGACTCATACGAAAATGATTCATGGAAAAGTACTTTCTCTATCATATCATTAACTATGGGGGAAATGTATAATCTAGATATGTGATCAGAAAGGTTGCTTCTGTCATCTAAGGTGAGTCATGTGCATGATTGTCTTCAAATTCTTTTTAAGTCAAACTTGCACAAGATCTGTTGTTACAAAAAAAGCACTCAAGCTAGACATTTAGGATCTGTCTTTAGCCATTTTTATCCTGAACCCACTGACTTTGTATACGATGTACTACAGAAGAGCAATTAATAACTGTCTGATACAAAACTTACCAGGCTAGAAAGATACATAGATATACACACAAATATATATGCACACATTAAGCATAAACATGGCTTTGAGATCTCCCTGCAAGCTGCACATACATGTAAAATAAAAATAAGGACACAACATTTCAATGCAAGGGGTGCTTTTTTGAAGATAAATTATCAAATATCTCTGAAGCCCACTGGTCCACAATGAGGCCGTAGTTTCATCATTATTTTTTCTGTGCAAAGGAAAACACACCCTTATCTGCCTAAAATATGAGCAGATATCTTCAACTACAGTAAATGAATTATTAATTGTTGCAAGATAGTTTTTTAAGTAAGTACCTTAACTAGCACAGTTAAGAGCACCACATTCTCTCCACACTACAACAGTTTTCAATTCCCTAAAACAACATACCACTTTTAGAGAAGCTGACCACATTTCTTGGGTCACCTCTGAAGTCTAGATCCAGCAGGTTTCCTTCTGCTTTACTTTTAATGAGCAAGTAGGATAGTTTGTGCCCTCTAACTTTATGTTTCTTTGCACCTTCGTAAGAACTGTTGCACATTTCTGAAGGTAACTTTTGAAGCTGCACATCAAGGCAGCAATGCTCGCTTGCTCAGGGGAAAAAAAGAAAGAAAGAAGAAAAAAGAAAAAAGAAAGAAACACCTTTGAAACATCTTTAGTTACCAAAGGCATTTTTGTCATTAAGTTATGGAAGACTTGCATGTGATGCAGCTGTAGTATAAATCACACAAAGAATTTTTAAAAGCAGATGCTTTCTCGTACCAATTATATGAATCCTTAATTCTTCATTAATTCTTCAATTTGTTAACAAAGATAGGGGAGCGATTACCACTACTGAAGTCTTATTTATGTTTATCCACTCAGGGTATTTAACACACCACCACCACCACCCCCTGTACCAAGAAGGGGCATGGATTTAGTAACGCCGATCATAAAGGCAGAGCTATCAATTGCGTGTATTAAAACACTAAATACCTTGAAGCTACAATGTTAGAGCTATTTATATCTTTCAATTATAAATAGGTCAGGTTTTACTTCCTATTTTCCATGTAACAGTTTTAAAGCATGACCCAGTAGTGACCTCACTGGAGAGTTGTACAAGGAATCAAGAGAACAAAGCGTAGGAGACAGCAGCAGAGGCCATACTAAGCACACGAAACTGACCTTCTCAAAATATCTTTATTTCATATGTTTTGACTAAAAGCTGCTTAAAAAAATAACTTTTGGCTGTACTGATTAGATCCTCTTCTTCTCAAGTGCATGTTTTAAAGAGCAACAAAAAAAGAAATTATTTCAAAAGCCTGCTCAAGTTCTTGAATTTTAAACAATTCTTTTTATCAGCAAACTTTCCCCAGAACTTCACTATGGATAGCATTTCCACTTAATTCAAGGTTGGTGCCTAAGACCACAGGAATCGTGATACAAACAGAAAGGCTAATGTCAAAATTCACTACAAACCAATTTTTACACCATTACTGAATATTGACTATTATTAATAAAGATAATGCTAAGCTTTGAGAAACAACAAATGCTACCCAAATTGGAACAATGCACTGAAGAAGCCTTTACACAAGGGAAACCCCAAACTCTCATTGTGTCACAAAAACACATTTACAGCAATACTTAAACACTTCATACTAAAGTACCAATAAAAATCAAATTGCAAAATTAATGCTTTTCTTTACAATGCAGAACACTTTTCTTACACAGTTAACAAGTCTAATTTCTAAAACAGCCTTCCTGGCATCAATAAAAGCGTATACATAAATCACAAGTTACTAACGGAGTAACAATGATTACCAGAATCTAACACTGTTGTGCTGAGAGCATTATTATCATCATCGCTACTAACAGAACCCATTTTACGGACAAATTTCATGGTGTTCACTGGGACAAGGCCAGACTCAGTTTTTACCAAAATCCTCTTTGTATGTTTTCTTTCCTTTCCTCTGCTATGCACTTACTTAAATTTACATTTTTTTTTAAAAAAGAAAAATAAATCCCACACTCCTAACTCTATAACCAGCAAGCTACAAGAACATACAAACTCATTTTGTGAGCTACCTGGACATCATTTTACGCCTATTAATGGCATCAAATCTTTGTGATGTATTGCTGTTAGTCTAAATCATGCTTTCTTCCTACCTCCAGATCATACATCCTTACACAAGCAATGAATCCAAACTGAATCATCTTCTCTTTCCCTCCCACACCTTTCTCCACTGTTACAGAAATATTAATTTGCATCCCTAAGTTATACTAATTCCTTAAAGCTCAGTAATAATTAGCTTTAAGATTATAAAAGTTAATCTTATAATGCAAGAGAGATTTTTATTGGCTTTCCTGGTTTTGTTCAGGTTCCTGAGCTGTGTACATCTTTTACTTCTTGAGATAATGAATCAGATTCACTGCTAACAGCTTTAGTTAAAGCCTGGGAAAACTGATCAATTTAGAAAGACGTAAGAATTTATGGTTAGCTCTGAAATTAAGAATTTTATTATAAACCTGTAACCTGCAGCTCATTCACATTTATGAGGCAAAAAAGGGAATAAAAGAAATCTCTTCTGTAAGATCACAGGAAGTATCGTTAGGAAGCATTTCAACTACAGGTTTGACTCCTACATTGAAATCAAAGTTGTATGGGAAGAAAAAAAACCACCAACAGGAAATGATATAAACCAGAAATATTCAGAAAAAAGTCAGTAACTAGGTTATAGCAAAATATTTGTATTAAAACAAATATAAAAGTCTTATAATCAGATCATAAACTTATAAGACATGCAGTAGAAAAGGAAAAGCTCTCTCTATTTTCTTCCCATTTTGGGTGAATCATAAAATTTCATTTATGGGCACTGCATTTGATACATAAATTAAAACACTCAGAACAAAGAAAGGTACTTTGTACTTTTGAAAGAGTCAGGTTTTAGCATGACATCTTCCTGAAAGACACATTAGACTATATATGTATTTTTTTAATATTTAGTGATAAAACAGTAGATTTGACTAAAGCTCTCAACTTCTTATTCTATGTAGTATCAGAACTACTCAGCATTTAAACCAGCAAAGTTGAACTACTAAAAAAGTAATCATAATATAAAGCTTTACAGGGTTTTTTTACAGTTTATTTGCTAATATACGATCACCTTTAATTCATGTGCAGTGTAATGTATGCTAACCTTGTTAAGCCATATATTTATGTATCTACTGTAGTTCATGAGCTGCAACCACGATTGCATAGATAATGCAGCGAAAGAGCAAAATATCTGAGAGAAGAAAGAAAGGTCTGTTACAAGTCAAATACAAAAACTGCAAGAACCCTTACCACTTTTCACAAATATATTTAAGCTGTAATTAGATTGATATAAACCCTTAGAGCTTGATATGAAGTAAGCCAACTTTAAGCATATCCATATCTGGGTAAAACTGGCCTATGCCATTAGTCAACATTTTTGTAATCCATGATGCAGTCTATCCTGGTTCTCAGATACTGTATTTACCTGTGTTAATTTCCTCTGCTATATGGATATCTTCAGCTTGCACACATTGATCTAACATCTCAACAAAACGTTCCTGAATTTCTCCAGTGGCCTCATCACCAAACTTATAATCACTGAGCATCACACTGGATCCAGCAACAGGGACAAACAGTCTTTGAGGTAAGACATGATACTCCCTCTCAAAACCTGAAAGAAAAGGGGAAAAAAAAACCATCCAAATAAAAGCCTTGCCAGCTATGGTAAGATTCCTTATTAATCTCTGATCATAAGATAAAGCTATTGCAAAAGAACTGCTCAAGGTTTCTGTGTAAAAAACCTGTTTTCAGGCATGGCTTGTTTCGTTGTTTCTGTTTTATGAAAGTTTTGGCTGCTATTATACTGATTTATATTCTTACATTAGTCTCTCCAGAAATACCCGAGACCTCCAAAACAGACCATAAAATGTTAAACAGAACTTTTTTCATGTTTAGAATGACTAGAAAAGAACTCTAGGAAAGACTGCACATAAGAGTGTACACAAAACAGCACGATTTCAACACCACAAAGCATTGAAAATATTTGGCTGCTTTATGCCATAAAGCCACAAAGTACGGGTGCCACCTAAAGAGGAAATGGAAAACTGCATGCAATTGAACACAAGTTTAAATCATGCAGGTTGGATAAAGCCGGCTAACACCAAAACAAACCATGTTATCCTAAAGTAAATAGTAATTCTGAACATGAATAATTTTTCCTTACACAATCAGCCGGTTTCCATTTCTCTTCTATTTTTTCTAAAATCACTACCGAAGATAGTATCTTTTAAAAGGCTTTTCTTTTATATAAGATCTTCAAATCGATATTTCAATTAACCAATAATATTTGGTTTAAAAAAAACAACAAAAGAACAAGAAGATAACTTGATACCATTGCAGTGACTCAAAGAAGTTTAAAGAATCACGCAGCATGAGCTAGGAGATCTGGTCTCAGCATATAACCCCTTAGTTTTTAATATAATCATGATAGGAAGTTTTATTTTCATCAGATCAATTTGCATTGTGTTCTGGCCGCTGCATGGTGCTCTGTTAAATTCAAGCTAATGCAATCCAGCAGTTATTCACGGTGCTGAAATAAGATCTATTTCTTTAAAAGACACAAAGACTGTAAAATAGTATTTGATGAAGAGAAAGAAGTCCAGGGGCAGAGACAACACAAATTATATATTTGTACAGTTAGTTAGAAAAAAAATAATCAGGATACTTCTGCACATAATAATCACCACATACAATGCCATAATTAATTTAATGGAGATGAACTATTAAACTTCAAAGCTCATGTCCACTATCATTTGTAACATAGGTGATATAAGAACATGGAAGGCCATGCCCAGCTGGTTCTTTTAATCCTACCAAGTTTTAGCATACTTCAATATTAATAGGAATACCGTACAGTGATTAAAAAAAAAAAAAAAACCAACATAAAAATGTAAAATGTGCAAGTTACAGTTAGAACTTCAGTGACGGGAGTTTCAGCTACAGTATTTTTAAAAATTACAAAATTTCTGATCAGTGAGAAAGAAGCTGAAATTGCATTTTCTGGTCATGAGAACTGAACACAAACTTTGTATGAAAACTGGGATGCCAAAGAACCTTTCTGCACTTGACAAAAATTCTCATGATTTAAGAAAAAGTCAAGGCTGCCAAACAGAAATTATGCTATTTGCTTTCTATTCTGCTCTAACCAAACTGGAACTTCAGTACCCTAGCAGAATTTTCTACAAGAACCAAAATTCACTGCAAATGTAAGCTGGTTTTTCTCTGAATTCCTACTTTTTTTGTGAGGTCCTTCATTTATAATGAGATCTTCAAATAGTATTTCACAGCGATCACTCAATGTGTTTATTATGTCTCTTTTCAAAGCCTGCAAAGACAAAGCGAAGACATCAGTAATATAAAAGCCATTTGCAAAGTTTTTGACTAGTAAGAAACAACAAAAGAAGTCCCTTATAGGGTTTAACCCATGTTGAAAGAACAGTTTTTCCAGAAAATAAAAACTCTAAAGAGAATTTTTATAAGTCCAATAAAGAGAAGCTAACATCAAAAGAATTAAAAACAAAAAAGAAAATAACAAAACAAAAATTAAAAGCTGAGGAGAATGTTAGTATTGTTAGAATAAGAACTGACAACTTCTAGACATTACTATTAAAATAAAAACAAACAAAAATAATCACAAGGCATTGACTCAATAACAGGAAAAAAAATAACTGAACAAATAAATCTGTATTCTCCCCCTATACATACAAAAATATAGTCTGTAACCTTTTCTTAATTTTAAGAAAATTTGTCACAGCCTAATCACTTTGACAATTTGTGTAAAGTTTCATCATGGAACAGCCTTAGCAACAGGACACATGCCTGCTAAAAGTGAAAAAGGAACTGAATCAATCACACACACACAGATGGCTTCTAAAAAAATCCATATGTTCAAGGGAATGAACATCTTAACACCAGTTTAGACCATGTCATTTTGGCAAAAAAAAAGCAGTATGACAAATTTCTTGTATTTCATAAAAATGTTTCTGATTAACTAAAAAAACTTTTCACTACCTGAATAGCTTCTTTAACTTTTGGCTTGTTGTTATGTACATAGGCTCTGCATTTCACAGCACCTTTGAGATTTATGGAACCACTGCAGACCTGGACTGTAGCTGTTGATCTATGACTTGAACCCTGGGACTGAAAAATAAACATGTTTGTTTTATCTTGTTACATAGGCACTTGCAGCATGAGTAACAAAAAACAGAAGTAGGAAATTAATAGCATACCTTAAGATGTTTACATATAGCCTGTTTTCCCTCATAATTAATTTTTTTTTTCTTTTTTTTTTTTTTAGTTTTGTTAGTTAAGACTGAAAATCTCTCTCCTTTTCCATTATGGAGAATATATATACTTTTCCAGACATTCCATTTCTTGCAATTTAAATATTTGTGTCTATGAGACTTCTATAACTTTTCAGGCAAGTAGATTGTGGCTAATTAGTATTGCAATCTATAAATATTTTTAAGATTTTTTTTTTAAAAGATGAAGTTTGTATTTTTACTATATAGTATGCATAACCTGTGGTATCCTGAGTGTCATCTCATCAGTCAGTACTAAATTATAAATGTGGTCATATTTAGAACTGTATCAAACTGTTGCCTAGAAATATTCACCCTAATTACCAAAACAATTACTGTGCTGCATGAAGCACTCTAAGACAACACCTGGAAACACAGGGATGCATAACTTCCACATAAACTGCGCAAACTATCTCTGCCAAAACAAAAAGCTTTCCTTTCTGAGGCAATTAACCATTGGACCAATGTAACAACAAAAGAAGCTGAGATACTCACCAAGTCTTTAAAATGGCATTTTATACATTTCTGGAGGTTTTGCTAAACATGACTTTAGAGAATCCAGGAACTACCTGACAAAACTGTATGGCCTGTGTTGTGCAAGAACAAAACAATGCCTGGACGCACTTAGGACCTAGACTGGTGCACCTAATTCAGGGTTCAAGTCAGCATAAACTTTGATAGAGAGGAAACTCCTGACACAGACCCAACAGCTCCAGCTTACGATTCAGCTCCCAGGGTCTGTACCTTAATCCAGAACTAGTGACTGAGCTTCTGATGAAATCATTCAAGTAAATGTCCATAGCTAGCCATGGCAAGCTGAAGTGTGGGGGTGATTCTGAACTTCAGAATGATGCAAAGTCACCTTGAAATCAATGTACGCAGGTATGTACAGGTATCCTACTATCAAATGAATTAGTTTAAAGGACTTTACTTCTATTACCAGTTTTTCAAATTTTCCTTGCAGCTGTACTGTGCAATTCTTAGACAACGTGGTTATCACACCACAAGAATTTTTGAACACACAAAATATGCAGATCTGTCCACAATCAGTTTCACAGTCAATATCCATGGGGGAAAAAAAAAAGTCTTAGGATTAAGTAATCTGGATTTCTAGACAATAATTCAGAATGCTATTTCATTTTTTATTCTATTTTATAAGATAACAGCGAGGTTATACTTTACAAACCACTGAATACTTACCAGCTGTGTCAGAACCTTGACATCAGAAAACTGAGTGCTGGACTGAGTATTTCCTCTTAACTTTTTCTGAGGGAAAAAAATTCTTTGTGTCATGAAACAAGAAAAAAAATATCCCAAATCAAAGTCTCCTCACTATGGTATAAAATGTGTCCTAGTTCACAGCTTTTAAGAAAGAACAATGGCATATAGAAAACAGCCATGAGAATATAAATACAAAACTAAAAGGAGATGAATGTATCAGCCAAACAAGGTGCTTCCACTCTTTGTTAAACATTTAGACATATGTAGGTCTTAGAAATCTTATCACCTACATTCACACCTTACTCATGTTGTTTACTGAGGAGATAGCACATAGAAAAATTTTTAGTCAAACTTCACATATAATTATTGCATTCACATTGCCAGAAGAAAAACAGGCAATCTGCAGCAATGAAGATGGGAACACAAGCAGTCCAGCGTATTAGTTACCCAAAATAGGCCAATTAGATCAACAAATGTTGTACAGAAGACATCTCAGTCAATGCTTTATCACACTGGAGGTTCTAACTACACATCTAATAGAGTTCAATTCCTTGTTATTTGGTACTCACCTGCCCTTCCAGTAGTTCTGTATCATCATCTTTAATTTGTCCATTGATCAGAAAAACGCTGTCTTCTATCTGTTTTGACCATCGATTTAACCCATTCTTTAAAAAAAGTGGAAACACAAAAATCTCATAATAGGTAAGAGAATTTCACTAAAACAGTTGGACAGTATCATGCTGAAATTATAGACAAACATGTTTCAACAGTTACTCAGAGAGAGTTTTAAAGTCTCTGAAAAATCTGTCTATGTTTTTCCAAAGCTAAATCTTAAAACCAACAAGTTCAAAATATATCCATTAAGAAACAAGCATTTTAAAATATTCAAGTGCTACCCCAGGGATCTGATTTTTGTAGAGGGATGCAGACTACTGACAGTCAATTCATATTAAAAGCACCCCTAAACTCTGTTCTAATTGGATGTAAACTTTCAGTAAGTGAAGCAGGAGACTTTAGTTGGAATACTCATGACAACCGCCAAATAATTCTGAGCAAAGGAAACTGCCACACTAAGCACAGCAGAAGAAAAGCCATCCACATTTTTTATACTATGAATGCTTCATAGTAACTTCAAATTACATTTAAAAGAGGAATAACTGCCAAACATTCTCCGCTGATTAGTCCTACTCCTCTACTCACACTATTCAAATCTTTCTCTCTCATTTAATTTTCAACACAAATAGTGTAGATACCAACCACAAAACTGGTGCAGCCAGTTAGTTACCTTGGTATTTTTCTCCAAGTCATGGTTCGGTGAAGTAGCAAGAAGTGGAATGTGAATATTAACATTTACTGTACAGTTCAAAGCCAACCAGGATGCAGACAGAGCACTCTGGTATTTCCAATCTGCTGGTTTAGGTGAGCTCTGAGAACAGAAAAAAGCAATAAAGAGTCTATACAAAACACTATATATCTCAAATAGAGATTTTTTTCTTGAAACTTTGCTTGTCATGCATTAAAAGCTGTACAGACAGGATTATGAGCTTACCTTTGGATCTTGTACATCATAGGTTCGGCAAACTACTCTTTGCTACTTAAAGAAAAAGATCCAGTGAAAGGCAAAAAAACCCGAGTAAGAACAATTCACAATTAACTTTGTCCTTTACTTTACTACTGAAGAAAGTTCTCACCTTTCAATAGTGTAAAAAAAGTGGAAAAACATTTGACTGTAAACTCCAACTACCATAGTGATGCTATCCCATCTCTTACAAATATATTAAGATCAATAGGTATTCACAGGGAGAGCCACCAATGCACCAATTTGTAATTTGTCCTTGTCTCTCTCACTTCTCCAAGGAAAAACCTTGCTTTCTCTGCTTGTATTATCTCATTATCAACAGACCCAGCATTCTTCTGCAGCACTAGTACAGATCCCACATGCCCACTACTTCCCCACTTCCATGTAGAATATCATTGGTAATAGCAAGCTCAAGAAGCTATACAGTTTTTTAGATGTTATCTTAAATTTATGCAAATCAAAACTGACTGGGGAATGCATAATTTGATGCCACCACACAAACAAACCTAACAGTAAGAAATTATGAAAATTTTGCAAGGATAAGAGGGTCAATAGTCTTACTCATGGGTAATCAGAAAACTTCATGATTTCAAGTTACTGATCTATGCCTATCTGAACTGAAACAACTTCCTCCTCGCAATTTATCATTTATTCAGAAATAACTACAGAAAAGAGGTTGGGGATAGCAGTCTCAATCAATAAAGCTTGTTTATAAAGGATACTTTCTTGTAGCAGAACAAATTTGAAGAGCGGCTCTTTCCGAGACCTCCTCCTCAGCAGGTTTCCAGAGTCTTCTTTTAGTCAAGGACTTCTCCACTGAGAAGATTAGCTAAAGATGAAAAAAGTATAATGGATTTTTTCACAAAAATAATGCATTATAATTTCTGGAAAATCGTCTTGTACTGAAGTTCTAAGTCCAAGTGATATCATAATTATGTATAAACAGGAAATACAGCTTCCATGTCACAAAATGTCATGTTAGAAGAACATTCAACAAAGACTCATAGGCAACCACTCCAAAGCGAAAGTCACTTGTGAAATCTTAATTCAGCTTCCTTGTAAACCAAACCAAGCAACACACATTCACATATTCAACTTGTATGCTTTTCTCCTCACATAAATATTACAGCTTTATATCTATCAGTTGAGGATCAGGAAAGACAGCTGTGCAAAATAGCTACTAATTAAAAAAACAAAACAAAACAAAACAAATTTTAATTCAGCAATCACTGATCACCTGGACACAGCTCACCTTTTTTTGTTGGCTGCTAGTTTCAGTAATCACAACTGAGATGTGATTGTGTTGCACTGCCAAAACTGAATCTTGGACCTTAAGCTTTAGAACCTACTTATGTTTAAATCATTCATCATGCTTACTTTATGAAAATGATAAAATGAACCTACATCTACAGAACAGAAACTCAATGTGGCACTAGATGCCCCAATACTGAAAAAAAAATGCATTTTACATCTATCAGACAGTAGCACATTCTAAGTAGTTTTTAAATATAACCCCCCACACCTAAGTCAAATACTACTAGTTCTATACAAGATATCCATTTTAGAGGAATCAGAGCTGTAGATCTTTCACTACTATAAACATCTCTAATTCATTCAGACAAAAAAAGCTAACATGCTACCATTACTAGTAATTGTGCCACAAGGATTTAGTTTAACATTAACCTTGAAGATGTTTTCCTTAAGCCCGAATGTCCACTTCCAGTAAATACAATAAGATTTGCTATTACAGTAACAAACATCACAAGAAACAGAAAGTTAGCAAATACCAGGTGTGCTATAGTCCCATAGGACAGCAATTTCTGATGTTTCAGTCTCAAAAACATACCTCAAACCAGAACATATGTGCTTTTAGAAATAAAGCAACAAAACAACCATATATATTCAAGTCAATGATAGAAGATTACTCAGCTACACACCCAAAGATATTCCTGTCTTTCTACCAGGAAGTCTACTTACCTTGCGCAAAGCATTTTGACAATCTTTTGACAGTTCTGGAGTTGCAATAATAAATACACCTAGAACTAATAAGCCTCCAGGAAGCATTCTAGAAACCTAAAAAAAAAAAAACCAACAAAAAAAACCCCAAGAACATTAATAGGAATCAGAAATCTAGCAAGCATGTAACTTGATATATCAAAATTTTCTAATGACGCAAGTACGCATCAAGAGAAGAAATGAATTAAGCAAGACTGTTCTTCACTTATATGTTCCTCTGAAATGTCTAAACACATCTTGAAAACTTTCTTGCTTCAGTCCTATCAAGTCTCTGTTTCATCATGAACTTTGAAAAAAATACAGATATTTTGGTTTAAAATAACTGTGCCTAGCATGGTTAGGAAGGTTCTTTTACTTTGAGAAAAAGTCTTGAGACAACACAAGTGATGAGGTAGTTTTTGTCGACCTTACTTCCTTTCTATTCCTCCCAAGCCCTTCATTAATTCACACTGTGCTACCTGACTGGCATGTGTAGTTATCCATTCTTCATCGATGGATGCCAGTTTTGAAGGACTGATGTTGTCTTCCTTCTGCTCTTCCTTTGGAGGCGTTCGAACAGCCTGAATTACGTAGTCTCTTTGTGGGGAACACTGTCAAAAACATCAATATAAGCAAATATGCCATGAGGTTGATATCAAATCTGAGACTATACTGCATAACATAGTAACTGCAAGGGCTGCTTTATACTAGGTATTGTTAAACTCTGTAGTAATCTGTTGCAAAAATAATTCCTTCATGTTTTTTTTTGCCTTTATGCCTTGCTTAGTGATAAGTTTTATTTTTATGATTTTAATCTCTTTTCTACGTGTTGTATCTTTCACAAAATGATTTTAAAAGACTTGAGTAGTTGGCTGACACTGCAAACCCTCTGGAGAAGTCTCTTCTGGTCATATTACCACCCTCCTGCATCATACAAGCTCAGTGTGATGTTAATAGGCTTATCCCAGATGATTAAGGCCAAGGGGGTTTTCCCCTATTAACATGAACAAATAGAACAGACTTCAAATATTACACACTTACCTGCCCTATTAACAGGCCAGTGACATAAGGCTTTAATTTTGTGCTGAGGTCTGAAAGATACTGCCCAATAGCTTCCTCAACAAAGTAAGTTCTACCCATTACTGCAGGTTTTAGACTAAGTATTGTAGTTTCAACCTACAAAACAAATAACGTATGAAGTCAGAGAAAGTATATATACTACACTGGTTACATGAAAATAAGAGTCTCGCACAAAGATGCTGAATGGATTAATACTTTATCTATCAACAAAGGCTAGTTAAGTAGCTTTATGATCTGCAAGTTTGATTTTTTAAATGAAAAACATAGTTCTCTATACTAGAGGAAGTATGTGACCCTTATTTGAAAGAAAGCTATTTTAAATACCTGCCACTGAAATGACATGGCAAGTAATGCAAACAAATGCTAGGAAAAACATGTCTTCAAGCAACAACTTCTTGCTACATCATGTTTCATCAGAGGCCAGACAGTAAAGTGCGTGTTTTTGCATTCACATTCCTCTTTGAGGGACTTGCTAAATTCCACACTTGTACTTAAACATGCCACGCACATTTTTCATTCCAATTCCTAAGGCATTAGAAGTACAGCATCTGGGGACTATCCAAAAGGCCATCCTTGCAGCTCCCATCAGTAGCCATGTGAAGCCAGGGCATGGGGACTGCCACTGACACCCCTCCCTTCCACGCAGACCTATTCTGAAAACTGCTTTACACACCGAGGACTTTCACAAAAACTAAATATGAGAAAGCAAAGGGTATTCTGAGTCTCCGCAAAGGTGCCTGCTGGAGAAAGCTGCACAGGGACGGCAGAGCTGAAGCTCCGGACCAGGGCCAAAAGCACCTCTGCACCCGCACTGCAGCCCGGCCCACAGCTCGGCGGTGGCTCCCGCGCAGCTCCCCCACCGCCTCGGGCCGCCCCCAAGCGCTCCCCGCACTCGCCTGACGGCCGCGGCCGCCGCCGGGTCCCCAAGCTCGGCCGCCACCACCTCAGCGCTGCCGCCACTACTGCCGCCACTACTGCCGGCGCCGCAGGCGAGCACGGGGCCGACCCGCGTCACCGGCAGGCGCCGCTCGCGCCCCGGCGTAGGGTGATGACGCACAACAACCCAGACCCGAGCGCGGGAAAAGGGCGCGCAGAGGGAGAGCTCAGCGCCAGCGCCGCCATGCTTTGAGTGGCAGAAGCTGTGACGCCTCCTCCTGCATCTCCCGGGCGCGCAGGACGCCTTAGAAGGGCCAGCGGCCTCGTGGCGAGCTTCGAGACGAAGCCTTCGAGACTCCTGTCTCAATTTTAGCCGCCTTCATGTATCAACCCGCAACTCTAGCCTCACTCAACATGGTGGAAGGAATGGCCTTACCGGAAACGGAAGTGCTTAGTGGCGCGCCGCTCCTTGCCTGGAAAACTACACTTCCCATGATTCCGCGGGGGGCGGCCCACCTGCACACGCATGCGGCAATGCGGCGCCTGCACCCTTGGGCGCGTCGCGGCCGGTAGTGGTTAGGCCGGAAAGCGCAGCGGTTGCTTCCAAGATGGCGGCCGTGCTGCAGCAGGTCCTGGAGCGGGCCGAGCTCTCTAAGCTGCCCAAGCCGGTGCAGGGGAAGCTGGAGCGCTTCCTGGCCGATCAGCAGAGCGAGATCGACGGGCTCCGAGCCAGGCATGAGCGCTTCAAGGTGGACAGCGGTGAGTCTGGGGAGGGGGAGGCTGGAAGGACGGGAACGGAGGTGAGGGGGCAGCGGGAACGGGGCAGGCCCCGGGCTGCTCCGTGCGGAGGGGGCCGCGCTGCCCAAGGGCTGCGCGGTATCCGCTCGTCCCGGTGCTCGGGCAGAGGCAGCGGGCCTGCGGCTCGGGTGCGAACGGGTGGGCTGGGGTCGGGCCGGGTGCCCCCTCCTCCGCCGCGCGATGTCGCGGTCCCTCCTGATGAGAGGAGGGAGGGATGGAGGGAAGCTTGGGCCTGACGGGTCGTTGTTGTCTTCGAAACGCTTTCGGGGGGTGACCTGGGGCCTCTGAGGTGGGGGTGTGCGTCCTCTGGCTGCGAAGGGGCCCTGAAGTGGGGGGCATGCCCGCTGGCTGGGAAGGGACCCTTCAGTTGAGACCTGATAGGGTTTTTTCTCTCACTTTCGCTTGGCAAAAGGAGTCTGATTTTTTTTTTTTTCTTTTGCAAAGGACTATTCAGGGTTAAAACTACATTCGAAATGAGCTTAAAGAACAGCCTTTAATCACATTTATAACAAGCATTGGTATGCTTCAGACCATGCTTTGATCCTAGTTGTGGCAGAGAAATAACGATTCGTTTACCCAACTCTCAGATAGCCTTAGGTTTATACTTTTGCTGTTAAATTCCATGTTGAAGACCATAACCTCTCCATATAAAATGTTCCTGATAGAATCAACGTTTTTATATTGATTTGGAGGTTACTACATCACAGAAAAATAATACCAGTAGGGAACTGGAGTAGAGATGACAGAAGAATGTAGATGAGTGTAAGCGCTGGGCAGGCTTGTGAATATGAGTTAATGTATCGGGTAGGTGACATACGTCTGATGTAAACTTTACTTCCACCTTTCCTTCAACCTTTCTGTCTCTTTCATGATAAAAATCTTGCTAAAGTGAATTAATAAAGTGTACTGTAAATTAAGGTAGCCCACTGATTTAAGCAGGTTAGTCTCTTTCAGGTCCATTCTTCTCATATATGGCTGGGGGGGGAGCATTATTTGAAATTGTAAGGTATGATAGGAAGCATAAGATGAATAAAAGTTTTTCAGTGCTTCCTTAGAAGCCCACTGTGCCTGAGAGTGAGAATAGTTCTGCTTTTACTAAGTATTTTACAGTTAAGCTCTATGACACAGTTACTGTTTCAGATAACCAAAATTTAGATCTAATTATTTTTTTCAGTGCTATGGGATATGCAGCATAGAGCACAAGAGTTCATTTTAAGAAGTGTTCATTAAGAGTTTTCTAAATCAAATCTTTGATACCTAGGGTTATGTGGATTTTATTGTATGTGTATAGAAATATGCTACAGGTAAAAGAAGTTTTAAGTTGGTGAGACCACGCTGCATAATTTGCTGATAAAATGCTCTCTAGCTACATCAATAATGTTACAGAACTATTAGAATTAGTTAGGCTGTTAATTTATGGATCATTGCTGGAAACATACCACTTTCCACGCTAACAAAAGTATTTTAAACAATGTTAACTTAATGTGGAAATGTATCTTTTTTGCCTTCAAAAATACTTTTTTCTCCAAATTCTACTGTAGTCTTATTATTTTTAGATATTTTCTTTATAAATACTGTTCTTTAATAAAGATGTCCATTAATAAGGATCCTTGATAAAGGTGAGAAAGAAAAAGAAATGTTTATTAAGTGAAATTGAGATAACATTGTTATTTTGCAGAACAACAGTACTTTGAAGTAGAAAAGCGTCTGGCTCAAAGTCAGGAGAGACTTGTAAATGAG